CAGTGTATCACGGTTAGTTAGTAAACTAAACACAAGCACAGAAATCTATCCATGAATTATCCAGGGCGGCTGTTGTAATCTTAAGTAAATTTCCTAGTGTATATGCTTTAAAACTATATGATGAATTAAGAACGGTTTCAATTCCAAAATTCTTGCTTCTTAGATTGTTGTATTTCACGCGTGTAAGATGTTGGAACGTTCGTAAGCCTACAACGCAATGCAAACACACCTTACTATATATTTTCTGAATCCTTAAAACGCAGATAATCTGCAAGATGACGAACATATATCAACATAACCTTTGCACATGGTCTACTGTAGGTCCGGTATCGTGTACAGAATGCGAACACAACCATCATTCATAATCTTGGGACAAGGCTACATCTATTTGTGTAATTTATTTTCCATGCTAGAATCAAGTGCATACTTTTTTTTTTTACACTTACGATATTTCCGAGGCAGCTTAGTTATCACATTACCCAGCCTTGCCACACCCTGTAGCTCCCGCCACCAGGCAACTTCTGCCGACAATTTTACGTCTCTCTCTCTCTCTCTCTCTCTCTCGTTTTATAGGAAGGTCACGTATCATCAGAGATGTTCTTCCATTTCTACATTCTGGTGGCCATTAAAATACCAACATGTCATCCTCTTATAAATAACGTAATAGTATTATAAGTAAGGCAGACACGAGGGGGAAATTACCTATTACTTCCCCTCCGAGATTCAGATACATTCTTACAAATACAAATTTATACATAGCAAAGTACTCTCCATGTGATAGCTATGACAGACCTCCACCTAGATATGAGAGAAATGTATTAAGGGAGTTCTGGATACTAAGGCTGGTAGTAGTAGTGGTGGTGGTGGTTCCTAAAGAACACCCTGGGTGTAGTAATGAAGTTTCCCCCGACCGTTAGCACGGCACACGCGGGCCCGGATCAATGTCTTGTCTGTCCCTCTGGCGGGGGTCGTGTTGACCGATGTACTTGTTCTGCTTCATGTGTTACGGTGCATGTACTGTAAGTGTATACCTGGATATAAAATAAGTGTATGCTGATGTACACTGTATACATATGTCTATACATAGATATATGTTAATTAATGAAATTCACTTTAAATCAGATAAACATAGGCCTATCTGTTTATATCTGTCGCATAAAACGTGCAGAAAATGTCACATTTTAATTCAAAAGAAAACTATATAAAAATTACAAAAGCGCCAGGATACCAGATGGTGGTTGTTTCAGGGCTGAGGAACAGCAACAATGACTACGTGTGTGGAGACAGGGTGAGCGAGGCACTGCAGATGTAAGTCGTTCCTCCTGCCTGCCTGGACGCAGTGACCCAGTAGGTGGGGGGGGGGGTGGGAGGGAGTGAGGGGAATCGAGCTGCAAGTCTCCCACTCTTCCCCTCCCCCTCTCTTGTTTCACTGCATGTAGGTGACGCCCATTCATATGTATATGTCTCTTGTATGTCTACCCGCCTGTATGTCACTGTCTGCCTGTCTAACTGCATTACTCGCCATATTATTTCCTTACTTTTTATATTACCTTAATAAAGCATTGATCTACCCGTCAATAAGTTAATATTATCCCACAACAACCACAAACCTAGAAAGGTGTTAATGACTAATTATGTCAAATGTAATTCTACCGCCAACATTCATTCAACGTAATGTATAAAAAGTTGCCATCTTACGTGACACCTCTGGAATACAAAGGAAATGAACAATTTGCAAACAACATACACACTGCTTATATTCTTATTTATGACAGCAGGATAATTAGAGAACATTTATATGTAATTACGAAATCCGGTCTTTATGTATATTTTAGTATGTAAATATAGTACACCCTTATGTCCAATTAGGAATATTATTACAATGGTAAGTGCAAATTACTAACCTCTGGGAAAAACCTCCTTACCTCTCCCGTTGAAGGACAATTTGGGTGCAGACGGGTGTCTACCCGTTTGCCCCACAGTGCGCGCGCGCACACACTCAAATTAATCTTGCTGAAATCTACCCAACTCCTTTTAAAAGAAAAACTGAACTTTCCCGTTTACTTCCTCCTGAATGCGGAACTGTCCTGTTAAGGGCGTAACTTCGTACACAGTAACAAGAGAATACCTAATCTTATTTTCTTTGCCACATAAAACTCCCAGGGAAGGTCATATCAAGGGTTTAAATTGACATGTTGTTGTTTCAGGAACCTGTGTGTGAACATAAGTAAGAAGACATTTATGGTTTTTATGGGCACAAGAATTCAGGGTTTCTGGGAATATGTATCTCGATTTTTTTTTTTTTTGCAGGTTTAAATTCAGGAGTTTAAAGTTCGTATGACTGATTTTTAGGCCGAAACACGTCTTCCTTACACATATTTACACAGATCCCCCCCCCCCCGAAAAAAAAAAATTATCATGTTAAACTTTCAACCACGATGCTTGTTATAACAACTGGAGTCCAACTACATTTGGAGTTCAAAATCTCCTGTTCTTTTTAATCTGAAATACTTGATATTTTTCTGGTTGACTGTCCAACCCTCCAATCCAGCGCCCACCCACACGAACACTGCCAGCCTTCCACACGGTCGGTCATACTTGTAACAACAGACGGTTGATAGAGTGTTTTGTTTGCTAAGCTTAGTGTTCACTGTTTTATTGTCGCATACTATTCAAACAACATACCGGTAATTAATCAAAAGTAAACCAAATTAAATCGCTTTTTGTAAATTTTATTGACTCATGAAAATCGAGACACTGATAACTAAGTTATTTTATAAATTTCCATACTTCAACACTAAGTTATAACAGTATAGTTGCAGGGACAAAAGTTGAACACTTATATTTCAATGCATACTGTTTTAATATCAATATTAGTGTTCCACAGCAACACTATACGTATTGTCTATACGTATTATATCAAAGACTCTCTTTCTCCTTTCCCCTAAAGATCCCCCAGTGGGAACATGGTACTCGCCAGACTCGTTTGGGAGAATATGGTATCTATAAAACCTCCGAAATCATATAACCACTAAACGGGGGACTGTAATATCCCAAGTAAATAGACCAACTCCCCCAAAGGACGGCAGGCATCCTATTGAGACAAACCCAAGAGAAGATCGCCTCAGACACCATTGGGTGGCATCAACTGACCTGTATTGGGCTTGTCAGCAGTTGAGAACCCATTATGCCGGGGAGTTTCTACTGGCTCTTCAGGCATTTACCTCTACCTTCAGGAAATCCATGCTGGATTAGCCTTCGATCTAATGATCCACCAATCCACACAGGGAGATGGCATGGATGACATAAGTTAATGACATTATCATGAAAGTCTGACCACTGAGGGCTCCCAGCCACAAAGTGAACCTCTGGTTTACAGATCCGACAAGTGCTCACACAATTACGCTGCTACTTCGAAAGGATGGTAAACCACGATTGTGGGATTACACATGTGATTCCAAACTGGTGTCTGTCTATTTTTCCCAGAGTGCAGCTGGAGTGATGAAGGCAGCAAGCTCGGGGGAAAACAAGGAGGTAAAGTACAAGATCCTAAACCACGAATATCGTTTTGTCCCAATCGGGACTGAGATCCTAGGAGCCTTGGGCACCGAAGCTCTGGAGAACCTGAATGAGTTGAGCTTCGATTCACTAAGGCCACTGAAAACTCCAGAACATCTACCCTGTAGTTACAAGTTCCAGCTCTTCGGCATTGCTCGCCAGAGTGACTGTCTTCTGTATGAGAAACTCAGTCCTACACTTGAGCTCGAGGCCGTCTTCGAATTGTGACTGCAATTCTTGCCATAACAAATAAGCAAAAAAAAGAGAAAAAGTAAATATACTATGTACAATAATACAACGGAGCGATAGAACGCACTATGTTCTGGTACTCACAGTTCAACGAAAACTATCACAATTTTCCGTTAATGCTCTTTATTCTCTTCTCCGAGGCGAAGTCTATGAACAAAACCAACTAGTGGCAGGTAATCACGATGAAAAATACATAATCAAACCTGGCCTTACGACAACTAAAAAATTCGGACAAATCATAAATATGGACAGCTTGACACGGTCCCTTTATCTTAGTAAAATACACCAAGTAACATTAAAAACTGAATATACTTTCTCTGAAATACGTACAACTTATCATAATTATATACTACCACTAGGCCGTCCGATAATCCGATTGTTGTCTCCAAGTGGTTGATGATCTGGACACACAGGCCTTCTCCCAGAACACTTTTCGGATCATAATGATACAACACACAGTTAAAGTCACGCACAGCAGCGAGTGACCTTCATTGTTCCGGTAACTTTTCATCAACAACAGACAATAAACTGAATGCCATGGACACTTTGTATTAACTAAAACGTTTATCAGCGTAGGTATAACACATAGTCAAAGGAAATTTATATTCCAAGAAGTTTTGTTAAATTAATGTTTTGCATACAGTACATACTTCTTGTTTTAAATCAAAAATTGTCAGTTAAAGATATCATTTATTAATAAGTTTGTGTGCTTGCTTGCTTTATTCACGTAAAATATATAATTTACACAATTACTTTGCAATATTATCCGATGAATTATGCCATACACATTACGCGTTACACGTATTGTACCTACTGTACACTAGTATCGAGCAACCCAACCTAACAACCTAACCATCTAAATTACGGACAAAGAAAGACCTATTTCCAAAGTTTGACTGTGTGTATGTGCCAAAGCCTGGTAACATGACACATGGTCAAGTGAAATACTGTGTAGTCTAAAACTTATTGACACATCAGGTTGAGCGAACGATCCCCGTAACGTACTGAAGATTCAAAACGTTTGTTCCTAAAATTATAAATTCAATTGTTCAGCAAGCAATTTTTAAATGATTTGCGGCCATCCATTCCTTGTTAATTTTATTTTGGACACCTAATACACCATCCCCAACATTGCAGTATACACTTCCACCAACGAATCAAATTAACCAAGATGGGTTTAAGTCAACACTCACCCGAATAGCTATTCCAGAGTAAGAGCAAGACGAGTAACACGTCCTTCCCCAACCACTGCCACAGCTACACTACCTCTGCGCGTGCGCTTCCAGCCTTCCAACCTGCCTGACAGCCCCTAACACGTCACGCTCAGACGAGCTCCAGCAAGTGGAATTCCAGCATATTTTTAAACAATGATATCCATTAAGGGTCCGGAAGTCAACAGCTCCTTGTGTTCAAACACCTCAGCTAAACCAAAGTATTTTCCTTGTACATTAATAAAAGGCAAGTGCGCACTACATAGTCTAAGATGCAAACACCGGAAACGAGGGCTTTAATCACGATGAATGTTTTCAAAGTACCTTTCAGCAAACAACGACTTCACTTTTTATTTACTTTTCTGGAAGTGATTACAAGTCATTACACATACTCCTTGTTCCTACAGGTGGTACAGTGAGAAAGTTCCGTGCTCCTCTATCGTTTACACACAAAGAAATAAGCTGGATTTGTTTACATGATTATCTGAAGTATTTACCTGACTGTTATAAACGTGAAACTAATCTCAAATTCATAATCATGTTCTGTTTTCAATATAAAACGATTGGTAAAAATGTTTACAGTTCTGCTACGGAACATTCTTTTATGTAAGAAGCATGTGAAGGTTAAGCATGAAACTAATATCGTGTACTTTATAAGCTTTCGTACCCAGACGGTGTTTAAGTTAACATTTTACAGTCAGAGTTGCTGTATTTCTAATTCTATAACAGCGGTCTCTCAAAGTTTCATATGAAAGTCTCAGCGGAAACTAGGCCCCAGCTACCTCCTATCACCATGTTGACGAAAGACGTGTGCCAAGCTGAAATGACCACCACCCTAATAAGCTTTATACACGCCGGGGACCATAGCTCAAGAGACGGTAGAGGCGCAGACCCCATACCCCGCCCACCACCTGGGATATTACTCTCATCCACACCTCGTCCACCACCTGGGATATTACTCTCATCCACACCTCGTCCACCACCTGGGATATTACTCTCATCCACACCCCGCCCACCACCTGGGATATTACTCTCATCCACACCTCGTCCACCACCTGGGATATTACTCTCATCCACACCCCGCCCACCACCTGGGGATATGACTTCCATCCACACCCGCCCATCACCTGGGGTATTACTCCTATCCACACACCACCACCTGGGATATTACTCTCATCACACCCCGCCCACCACCTGGGATATGACTCTCATCCACACCCACCCACAACCTGGGATATTACTCTCATCCACACCCCCCACCACCTGGGATATTACTTCTTCCACACCCCGCCCACCACTTGGGAGCGCCCACCACCAGGGATATTACTCTTATCCACACCCTGCCCACAACCTGGGATATTACTCCCATCCACACCCGCCCACCACCTGGGATATTCCATCCACACCCCGCCCACCACTTGGGATATTACTTCCATCCACACCCCGCCCATCACCTGGGATATTACTCCTCCACACCCCGCCCACCACCTGGGATATTACTCCCATCCACACCCGCTCACCACCTAGGATATTACTCCACACCCCGCCCACCAACTGGGATATTACTCTCATCCACACCTCCCACCACCTGGGATATATCTCCCATCCACACCCCGCCCACCACTTGGGGATCCCATCCACACCCGCCCACCACCTGGGATATTACTCCCATCCACACCCGCCCACCACCTGGGATATTACTCCCATCCACACGCCCACCACCTGGGATATTACTCCCATCCACACCCCGCCCACCACCTGGGATATTACTCTCATCCACACCCCGCCCACCACCTGGGATATTACTCCCATCGACACCCGCCCACCACCTGGGATATTACTTCCATCCACACCCTGCCCATCATCTGGGGTATTACCTATCCACACCCCGACCACCACCTGGGGATACTCTCATACACACCGCCCACCACCTGGGATATGACTCTCATCCACACCTCGTCCACCACCTGGGATATTACTCCCATCCACACCCCGCCCACCACCTCTCTCATCCACACCCCGCCCACCACCTGGGATATTACTCTCATCCACACCCCTCACCACCTGGGATATTACTCTTATCCACACCTGCCCACAACCTGGATATTACTCCCATCCACACCCCGCCCACCACCTGGGATATTCCATCCACACCCCGCCCACCACTTGGGATATTACTTCCATCACACCCCGCCCATCACCTGGGATATTACTCCTATCCACACCCCGCCCACCACCTGGGATATTAATATCACTCATCCACACCCCGCCCACCACCTGGATATTACTCCTATCCACACTCCGCCCGCCACCTGGGATATTACTTCCATCCACTCCTGCCCACCACCTGGGATATTACTCCTATCCACACCCGCCCACCACCTGGGATATTACTTCCGTCCACACCGCCCACCACCTGGGATATTACTTCCATCCACACCCGCCCACCACCTGGGATATTACTCTCATCCACACCCGCTCACAACCTGGGATATTACTCCCATCCACACCCCGCCCACCACCTGGGATACTTCCATCCACACCCGTCCCGTCCGCCACCTGGGATATTACTTCCATCCATACCCTGCCCACCACCTGGGATATTACTCCTATCCACACACCGCCCACCAGCTGGGATATTACTCTCATCCACACCCCGCCCACCACCTGGGATATTACTCTCATCCATACCCCGCCCACCATCTGGGATATTACTTCCATCCACACCCCGCCCACCACCTGGGATATTACTCTCATCCACATCCTTCTTTCCTCACACAGCCAAACTGTGGAACGCCCTGCTTTTTCTTTGTTTCCATACTCTTACAATCTTCGTCACTTCAAAAAGCTGGTTTTCCGACATCTTCGTGGTGTGGCAGCATTATGTTAGCGTTTAGGTGCTAACACTGCTTGCTTTCTCTTGCTTTCAACTTCCGCCACTGGCTAGCCATCGTGGTGGATATGGAAACAGCCTTGCGCAAGTCTCCCACTGCCAGTACACAGCCTCTTCGTCATCAAGACTCCTGCTGTGCCTCCTCGTGGCAAAATATGGTAACTGGGTGCCTCGCGGTCCCAGGCTAGACCAACAAAGGATCTCAGACCAGCAACGGGCCCCAAAGGGACGGCGCATAGGCCCACTGGCATGTGGACACGCCCTGGCGCCTACCAACCACTGCCCCACTGCCTTGCGGATTAAACTTGGTAGGTATAAGACTACGAGAGTAAATCCCGGACAAAAAATCTGCAGTGGAGCCCCTCATCAAACAGACATACCTACAGAGTTCCAGTAAGACGACCAACGGTGAAATAGGCGGAAGAATGACCAACACGGGAACCCAAGGACTAAATCGGCGGATGAAAGCAATGCAATATGGACAGGATACTGAGGCGAAACTCAGCAAACTGGGCTACAGCAGTCCATTGCAACTTTCCCTCTCCCCAGTAATTGCCGCTACCTGCACCACTGGAACCGGTAAAGGGGAGAGCCAAGATGTGTAGTTGCCGCCTGTTCCCCTGCCTCACCACAAAAAATCAACTTACGCGCAGCCATCATCCAACTCAACATACTTTTCATCATCATCAAAACCCATATGACCCCAAAAGTCCTATGGCGATAGACAAGTGGCGACGGGGACAGGCTTAGATGACTGCCGGGAGTCTCTAGTCACAGCTCTGCACATGGGCGGCACAGATAAGAGTGTCGTTTATGCACTGGGATCTAGGCAGCAGTGCAATCCAGTCCTGTCTCTGCGACTGAGCAGCCCTTTCCACATGGGGAGGGGGGGGGGGAACAAAAGGTGTTCTAAACATAGCCTGCCTGCCTGCCTATATAAAAAAAATGAAACAAAATGCACTGACTGGGAAACGGCACCCAGTAAGGTCATCCTTATTCGGTCGAAAACATAATTATAATTACAGGTCAAAGCAAAAACAAATTATACAACCTGTTATGGTCGCTGCATGGAATGTCAGGACCCTTCTGGATACTGGCCATGTGGCAAAAGAGCTGCTGTGGAGGCAAACCACATTTATGGATTGGCAAATAACAAATTCGCCAATCCATCCTACATAGGGTAACTGAAATGCCTGTTGGGATCAACGAGCGCCCCATGACTCTCCGAGTCTCATTGAGTTACTCACGTCATGCCTTCAACAGTGCATTCGACCCATTACTAGATACAGAGGATGACATCAAGGAGGACTTTTACGCCAACCTTGACAGAGTGCTAACCTCTATCCCCAGAAAAAATAAAGTTGTGCTTCTAGGTGACTTCAGTGCCAGAGTTGGCAGAGTGGCTGACTTATGGCAGGGAACCATAGAGAGAAATGGGGTAGGCAAGTGTAATCCCAACGGCCTACTCCTCCTCATCAAATGTGCTGAACACAACTTCACTCTCATCAACACCTTGTTAAGGCAGGCCGACAAGTTCAATGGTTCTTGACAATACCCACAATCCAAACATTGGCATCTCATTGACTACATCATTGTCAGAGAAAGAGATCGCCGAGATGTCCTCATCACCCGACCCATGCGTGGCTCAGACCACTATGACACAGATCATCGCCTGGCCAGACCCAAACTTTCCCTTCCCGCCGCCCCAAAATGGCGAAGGCAACAAGCGTTCAGAAGAGGTTTTAAATTAAACCAAGCAACTGGAGGATCAAGCGGTAGCGCATGCTTTCAGAGAGCAGCTCGACGATGGGCTAATCAACAACCCAACAACAAACAACCTATAATCGAGAGCCGAATGGGGTATCCTCTGCTCTGTCATCACAAAAACCTACAGTGAGACCTTCGGCCAGATCGAAAGAAAGCTTCAGCATTGGTTTAATGAATATAACCAGGAAATCAATGTACTCGTTAATGGTAAACATGCTGCTTTTACTGACTGGCAGGACAGTCCTCAGTCTCGGACTTCGCAAATTAATGAATGAATGGTGAAAAAATAAAGTGCGTGAAACGCAAAAAACTACAGATCAAAACAAGATGAGTGCATTTTTCAGTTTCACTAAAACAATGTATGGCCCAATT